CCAGTTCTGCGAACAGCTCCAGACATTTCTTCACAATGTTCTTGCGGATGACCTTCAGGATTTTGCTCTGCTGAAGCATTTCTCTGGAGATGTTCAGGGGCAGGTCCTCAGAGTCCACCACACCACGGACAAAGTCTGACGGGACAAAAGTAATAGCTCTATCATTTTTGTCCTTTAATGTCATCACTGCTTTGGTTTACAGCCAGGACTATTAAAAGGAGACCCTTAACTTACTCAGGTACTCTGGAATGAGCTCCTCGCAATTGTCCATGATGAAGACTCTCCTCACATACAGCTTGATGTTATTCTTCTTTTTCTTGTTCTCAAAGAGGTCAAAAGGTGCACGGCGGGGAATGAAGAGCAGGGCCCGGAACTCCAGCTGGCCTTCCACTGAGAAGTGCTGTAAAAGAGTCAAAGGTCATTTTCATTTTAGTTTAGTCTGACTCAGAGCCTGACATCTTCAAGAGGTTCTACATACCTTGACGGCCAGATGATCCTCCCAGTCGTTGGTCAGACTCTTGTAGAACTCGCCGTATTCCTCATTTGTGATGTCATCAGGGTTTCTGGTCCAGATGGGCTTGGTCTTGTTCAGCTCCTCCTGATCTATGTACTTCTCCTTGATCTTCTTCTTCTTCTTCTTGTCCTTGTCTTTAGAATCCTCTTCATCATCTGACCCTACATCCTCGATCTTGGGCTTATCTTCACCTTCTTCCTTCTCCTTTTCAGCTTTTTCCTCCTCTGCCTCGTCATCACTGATCTCCTTGTCACGTTCCTTCTCCACCTGCAAAACACAAAGTCAGTTTAAAATGTTTGCAAATTAACAGTTTCCATCACTCAGAGGGGAGCATTTTCAGCGCTTACAAACAAAGTGATGGGGTAGCCGATGAACTGAGAGTGCTTCTTGACAATCTCCTTGACCCTCTTTTCTTCGATGTACTCTGTCTGGTCCTCCTTCAGGTACAGGATGATCTTTGTTCCACGGCCAATGGGCTCACCTGGAAGCACATATTTATTGAGAGGGAGACAAAAAGCATCTGCAAATTTTAAGACCACAAAACCTTATTCAGGACACGCACCATTGTCAACCTTGACTGTGAAGGAACCGCCCGCAGACGACTCCCAGGCGTACTGCTCATCATCATTGTGCTTTGTAATGACGACCACTTTCTCAGCAACAAGATAGGCAGAGTAGAAACCCACACCAAACTGCCCGATCATGGAGATGTCAGCACCAGCCTAGGAAAATAAATAAATTCAGAATTAGTTATATTATTTACACCCATCAAGTTAATAAAATGTAATAGCTAAGCTTTGTTTGAGTACCTGCAGGGCCTCCATGAAGGCCTTTGTTCCTGACTTTGCGATGGTTCCCAGGTTGTTAATGAGGTCAGCCTTGGTCATACCAATACCAGTGTCGATCAGGGTCAGGGTTCGGTCTGCTTTGTTTGGGATGATGTCGATTTTCAGATCCTTGCCGCTGTCCAGCTTTGTTGGGTCAGTCAAGCTTTCATAGCGGATTTTGTCCAGAGCCTGAGGATGCAGAAAGTCAAAGTTTGTATACCTCACATTCACCGACCTAAAAAGCTGGTGCTCTCACTCAAGGTTGTACAGTGAGAACAGAAGACTTTGCTCACTTACATCAGATGAGTTAGAGATCAACTCCCTGAGGAAGATCTCTTTATTAGAATAGAAGGTGTTGATGATCAGGGACATAAGTTGAGCGATCTCTGCCTGGAAGGCAAAGGTCTCAACCTCCTCCTCTTGGTGCATTTCTTCAGGCATCTGCACAGAAGACTCAAATGTGAGAAATTCAAATAATTGCTATAGACTGATTCAGTGAAGGTTACCAGTGATATACTACAAGTATTTGAGCCAGATGATAAAATTTATGATTAATTATACATGAGTGACTTGGAAAAAAGAAAGCCATCAAGTTGACTTCTTTAATGACTGCAACATGCAGGTATCTAGAACAGGTCCAGAGTACAGTGAGGATGGAGCAAACGTCAATAGTAAGTTAAGATAAACAAAAAGAGTAATATCCAACAGTTTATTTAAAAACCAAGACTTCTTATTAGAAGATTCAAATTGAAAAACAGATTTTTGGGAGTCATGCTCTTCTATACCGCTTAACATTTATGCTGAGGCAACGAGTAATTCTGCCAAACTCAATTTTTTTTGTAGTCCATCATCTTTAATAATATGGCACTTCAGTTTCCTGAAGGAAAATATAAGTAAAGCCGATGGCGGATCATAATGCGTTTTTTTTTATAACTGTCCCAACTTTATTAAGTTGGGACTGTTTCCAGCCTTTTACTACACATTAGCGGAAGTGTCCATTAACAAACATGGCGTCTGTGGCTAGACAATGAAACCGAAAACACGTGCTTAGGAGCGGCAAAACGGCTCAGACTGCAGAAACGGAGTCCGGACCGCGTGAAATAAGCCAACGTAACTCCATAAACATAATGACTAAAAACCGGAGAGCAAGAGATCCCAAATCCCAACGGTCGGCGCAACAATCGACAGTTGGATAAACGGCCGTTTCAAAAACCGTTGGCACGCTCAGCGTTTGATCAGTTTCCAGCTCAAAATCGACGTCGAGTCTTCAATCACGTCATTTGTCCACTAGCTTTTAGAATAATTTAAAAACTTCAGAAAATCGCAGTGTGGTTTAAGCCTTAGTCACCGTCAGTGTTCGAAACGCATTCTTCGATTACGTAACTGAAATGTACGCGTGCTTAGTAACAACTGAAATTTTCTTAATAATAAATTTAACTTGAAATCGACCCCTTCCCATTTTTGTGACCAGATCCAGGCATTTTGACCGTTAATAGCTTATCTGTAAGCCCAGTGAAGCCCATTGAGTCAGAGACGTAACCTCCACCCCACCTGCCTGACATCACAGTGCAGCAGTGCTGCATTCACGTTGCCCAGCATCACCCCTCACCAGACCGTATGTTTACAGGACAAAGACGAGTTTCAGCGAATTAAACATCAGCCGTTAACTCCATGGATATACAGTTAGCTCATACGAAGGCCTATAGCGGCTTCCTTCGAAAAACTGCGTTTAACGGTTGACATGACTCATGAACTCTTAATCAGCGACGTAATACTACATAACTAGACAGCTAGTTTAAAAAAATATTTACGTATATATTGTTCGCGTTAAAAGTCGGAAACACTGGTGTGCGTACCTTGTTAATTTAGTTGACTTTTCTTGAATAAAATGCAACAAAAGCGTAGTCCCCTGCGCTCACCGATGGGAGAAAAATGAAAGGAACTTTATGTTACAGCACAGGGAGTCTTTATACACGTGGGTTCCAGTGTATCCATCCGCGGCACCTCGTTTACTGCAGCCAGACTTTCAAGTAAAGGAAAATGTAAATACAGCTGGAAATGGGATTAAACGAAGTTTATACTTAAAATGAGATAAACTGGGATTTTAAAATGATGAAATTCACATTAATAATAGTTTATTAACTTTATAATTTACAATGAGTTAAGTGAATTCAGTTAGTTGCAATGAAATTATACTGCTGAAGTACGAACAACAATAAAAACAAACTCAACCACCAAACCTCCTAACGTTATAATAAACAAAGTGTGCTTTAATAATTCAATATATTAAACCTTCTGATCTTGATGTGCTATTGTCTCCATCATGTGGCAGTTTGAGGAACAGCTAAACGTATATTGAAAGAGACGACATTTCAGGACATTAAAGATTATGTTTTAAGATAGAGCTACAACGCAATCTGCATATGACAAAAAAGGTCACAAAGTCAAAATTCAGAGAACACCATTGCTTACTGCGTAATTTGACAAAGAACACAGATCTTTTTAATGTGATGGATGGATATTTCGAAACATGGAGGGTGTGCTTCGTTTGTTCTAGCGTTTTCCATCAAAAACCCGCCCGTGCGTGACGTCAGAAAGTTGCGAGGGAAACGGAGATAATAGAAATTCGTTATTATTATTATTATTATTATTATTATTATTATTATTATTATTATTATTATTATTATTATTATTATTATTATTATTATTATTTGTGCTGGATGTGTGGTCTTCTTCACTTGATGATTTATATTATTTCTTATTTTTAAATTATATGTACTACGTTTTGTCTGGAAATAAAGTGAATATGTTATTACTGACATTGGAATAAAAGGTTATAGGAGTTTCCTGTTTGATAATAAGGGGCTAGAAACTAGTCTATTCAAAACTTCTGACTCTGAACGTTTGTATATAAAAATAAAACAAGGCAGATCAGTGAAAACCAGATCGTCTACTAATTCATTTAGATTTCTAAAGCTGAAGTTTGAAGGTAAAAATACTTTTTATCTGCTAAGTCAGTCAGGTCAACGCTTGAACAGAAAAAATAGAAATAGAAAATGTGAAATTTCCCCACCCTGATCTTGGTTGAGTATATGATTATCACAAGCGACAGTTCACACATATTCTGTTTGATATCTCAAGATATAACGTCCTGCAAAGTTTGTTTTTTTATTTGCAGCGTAAACAAATGCTTTATTACAAGTTAGTTTCCTATGATACATTACTTAACCAGTTCTTAATTTAACAGCATTGTTTTATAATATGAAATTACATGGAATGTATTGAACCTGAGTCTGATTGTTTGGATTGTATTGGAATAAGCTTCACTCACTCTAAATTAACCTGGGATTCTATTATTTTGGGATATTTTGCTATTTACATTTTTACACATTGCGTGCTGAGGGCCAAGAAGGATTGGGACCCCTGGTTGTGACATCTGTTGTGAATTCGTGTAACGTGGTGAGCTCTCCTTGTAAAACTGTATGTTAAAAATATATAATTTAATTAAGTTTGTGGGTGACCATTTGATGACTTTACCAAACTGGAAACAAAATGCTGTCCACCACGGTGGGATATGGGTTACTCTCCGTTTGAACAGCCACGTCCTGGTACACAAAACAAACGCACTTACTCTGGTGCGCAGAGCGCTTGCGCGAAAGTGTTATTTGAAGGCCGCGGCTAGTTGCAGTGCTAATCTAACGTCCTAAACGTTGGCGGAATTTTCACTATAATTAAACTTTGTATAGTGGATTTTATCTTACTCTGCGCCACTTGGTTTTGTGGTATGTATATATTTACATTTGAGTTTTTTTAAAACGTATTTTTAGCCGATTAAAAGCCAGTATTGTATATTAGGTAAGGGCGACTGGGGCTAATGTCAGGTTAGCATTATTTAGTTGTGCCGGGTGTAGTAGGAACGTGCTCAGTGCTAGCTTTAGCCAACTTAGCTGCTTGTTTTTAGTTGTTACTCTCAAATTTACGAAGCAGTTTTTGAAGCTTTGGACTTCACAGCATTAAATTAGTTGATGCCCTCTAGATAAACTTACCTATTTTAAAGTAACTTTCCAATTGAGTCGAGTAAAAACTGCCGATTTCTTGTTAAACATTGAGATAATACAGCAGGAAGTGTTTCTTTTTTGTGTGCCCTAAACGTTAAAACTAATGTAGACACAGTTATTTTACAATATTGATATATTTATGTGCAAAGTCTAAATAATCACAATTGATAACATGATTAAAGGTGTTTGTTTGTGCTTTTTAGGTCATAACCATATTCAGAATGTCCTTCCCCCCTCATTTAAACCGGCCGCTGTTGCCCCCTCCTGGGATACCTCACCAGTATGCTGGCTTCCCCTCAGGTAATCAGCTACCTTTATGTATGTAACATTGTTTTTTTGTGTAATTCTTTTAAAATGAGTTATATATAACAGACTGGTGCTACTAGAAAACGCCAAAAAATAGTAATCGACCACCTCTCCTTTTGTATGGTACAAACAAAACAATATATATATATTATGCCAATTATTTACATTTTTGCTTATTTGAATCACAGTGGTCACCCCTGATGAAATATTGCTCCTTCACCAACTTATAACTCAATGGTGTCCCTTTCTACGTCCAGTTTATAGCAATGTACTTAAACTTATGTATTAAAATTCATTTCTCTGTAGGAACAATGGAGGTAAGTTGTCTTAAAACAGTTCTTCCTTGTTTTCACCCATCTCATGTATTACTAATTGTCACATAGCAGTTTAATTTCTTTACAGTACGCTAGAGAAAATTACTTCAAATCTTCAAATGACAGAAACTATAAGGTCGTTGTAAAGGAACATAATGATCAGTAGCCAATTTATTGGGAAGGTTATCAAATAAACAATAAGAATATCATTTTGACATGCTATGATAACTATGAGACTCTCCACTCGGTCTAATTTAACATTTCACCTATCTTTAAAGGAATCCTACGAGGTCAATAAATGTTTTTCCAGTTTTCATTACTTTAAATTATGTGAACACACACACACACACACACACACACACACACACACACACACACACACACACACACACACACACACACACACACAATAATTTAAGAAATAAAAGTTTTAAAAGGCAATTGAAAAACAGTGTTTTGTGTGTAATCATGAGACTGAGGTTCCAAATGTTACGATGTAGATTTATTTTTGTTTAAACAGTTTTATCTCAGAATGAATTGTTTTACTGCCTTTCCTGATTGCAAAAAACTTGCTTACTGGTGGGTGTTGTAGGATGGACATGTTCTCATGGCTTATCTTAACATATATTTTGTTCTTGCAACTTTGTTTCTGCTTTATTTATGCATTTCTTCTGCCTGTTTTAGGAACTCCAATGATCCCAGTTCACATGGGCATCATGGCCCCGGCCCCCGCAGTTATGGTTCCTTCTGTTCCGGTCGTCAGTAAGCCTCCTGTTCCAAAGAAGGACTATTCTGCGATGCGAGCCAAGGACGAGGAGAGCAGCGGGCCCACGACCACAGTGTTTGTAGGGAACATATCGGAGAAAGCTTCAGACATGCTGATCAGACAATTGCTGGCGGTAAGATGAAGAAAAGAAATAAAATATTTAAGATGAGCTCAGCTTTTAAATTTTTCCAATGAATAGTAGGATTTATAAACATACAATATTTCTTATTTTGTTAATGTTTTTTTCCTTTTATCCAACTTTTACAGAAATGTGGTATTGTTTTGAGCTGGAAACGAGTTCAAGGAGCTTCTGGAAAACTTCAAGGTAGTTCAAGTGTCATTATGTATTTGAAAAGTAATGATTTTTATGTTGAGTAGTTCAGCCTTATTTTATTGCGCTGTATATAACACGTCTTATTTTATTGCGCTGTATATAACACGTCTTCTGAAAGTGTAAAGCAGACATGTTTTCCAAGTCCAAATTCCAATTTTCCTTTTGGCAACACAAGGCGTGAATATTTAGTACTCAAATGTCCAAAAGATATTCTTGGACACCTGGTTGTCCCAAAACTTCCCCAAAGGAAAGTTTTCCTAAAGGAGTTTTACACCAGAATCAGTAAAATGTAAACATTTGCTGCAACCAGTTTAGGTTCAGTACAATTAACATTAAAATCTGTAGTTAAAGGCTTTCTTTAAAGAATGTCTTTGTTTCCTGAACAAATTTTTCCAACAGTACAACTAACCTGCCTTTGGTGTTGCTTGTTTCTGTTATGATTTTGCTTTCAACCCCTCAACCTCAGTGTCTGTTCAGCCTCTCACATCTCGTTTCATTAACTTATCTGTTTCAGCGTTTGGTTTTTGTGAATACAAAGAGCCGGAGTCCACCTTGCGAGCTCTCCGGCTGCTTCACGACCTGCAGATTGGAGACAAAAACCTGCTGGTGAAGGTGGATGCAAAGACTAAAGCTCAGCTGGATGAGTGGAAGGCCAAGAAGAAGACAGCAAATGGGGTGTGAATTAGTTTTGACATATTAATAATAATAATAATAATAATGCCATTCTTTACTCCAGAAATGTATCATGCACACGGCTTCATATATAACTTTTAAATGTATGCATACACACTGAAAATAAAATAGTCTGTTATTGTAGTGTCTTAATTGGAGGGTCACTGGATAATAAAGCTTGAATGATTTTGTGTTTTAGCAAACTAAGAAGGAAGAAGATGGAGGAGGTGACGATGTGGAAGTTCTTGATGAGGAGACGAAGAAAAGAGACCAGGTAGTGAAAGACGCCATCGATGGATTGATGCGAGAATACGCCGCAGAACTCAACGCACCTTCGCAGGATGACGACGCTCAGAGACGAAAAAGAAAAAAGGAAAAGAAAGAAGAGGTAAACCCAAACTATTCTGTTTGGCATAAATTTTGAAATTAATGAATTAGTTTAGGAATTGAGATTTTGTTTTTTCCCCCTTCCGATAGGACGACATTAACACCATTGACATCGAGGAGGACAAGCGGGACCTGATTTCCAGAGAGATTAGTAAATTTCGCGACACTCACAAGGTAAAGTGGCTTCATTTATTTTGCAATTGACATTACAGGTTTTGGACAACAGTTTCTCACGTAGTTCACTCCCAGAGTTGGCATATTTTAATTAGAACTGATATCTGTAACACGCATCCACAAATTGGCTCCACCAAACATTTACAGCATATGCATTACTGCACATGTAGCTTACAAAAAATCCTTAGTGAAATTATTGGTGTGACCTTTTCTAGATCCATTTCTTCATTCATCACACAAAAATGCATGGAGACAATGTAAAGTTACATTAAAGCTAATCTATTCATTAAACCCCACCATTATGATAGTGATCATATGGTGACTAAAGCAAGATGAATCTCAGAGCTTTGGAAAAAGTTGCCAGGATAGGATGTAAGTATCAGCCTTCTTTTCCTTTATACATATACTGGGCGTCCCCCTCTTGAGGACTTGCATCGGGGCAACTGCATACTTCCTTTGTGACCAGGGCTGAAATTGTTTAACTCAGTCTATCATACAGTATATGGCAATACAGATGACATATTGGCTACGTAATCATGAATGCATTGGCAGGTCCCTGGAAATGTCCAGAGTCAGTGAACCTGTGCAAGTTCTCCATAAATGATGGTCTGTCTTAATGGTGTTCATGTTGAAGCACAAGGACTCAGTAACCACTGCAGTGACTTTTGCTGTAACCTTTATTATGCTCGTGTGAGGTGGGGGCGCCCTCTCCACAGCAGTATGATGATCTGAAGACTGATGAGGTACGTGCTCTATGTGTGTGAGAGTGAGTGTGTGTGTCATGAAATCTCTCCTGTCTCTCACCTACACATCATATAGTCTGTTCTCTTTCCTTACACCAAATAAATGTTAGATTTATGAGCAAAGAATTAAAAGAAGCATGTGGTTCTTTATAAAAGTAAATAAAAATAAAAGCCAACCTCTTTAATTACAGCATGATTTTATCAATAGAAGTTAAATAATAATTTTTCAACTAAAATGTTTATGTAATAAAATAAAAACATAAGACCTGGACATCAGTGTACTTCTTACAGAGGTAAGTAAGAAAAATTGACTTTTATTATGGAACATGACATTGTTGAGCCTTTGTGTCCTAAAGAGCAGTAACAGTTAGTGACATTAGTTAAAAAAATGAATACAAAAAAGCTCAACACTGCAATAAGTTTTTAATTTTTTCCTGAAAAATATTCTTTTGAATATTATTTTACCTCTTCTTTTTGGTCAGTATTTAGTTCGATAAGCGATGTTGAATTTGGAATAGTTAGTACTGGTAGTTGTTCTAGTTTGGTGAAAACAGGCCAGACGGCTAATGTTTTTGCTAAATTAACTATGACTGGAGATGCACTGATCAGAGATGGTTTCTGTGGCTGATTTTTTTTTTCATAGATTATATTTTTCTTCAGTTTACTATTTCAAATTATCTTTAAGATTAACAGATAACATAAAAGTACCTTTTTCCCCAACTACTGGATAAATTCACAACAATGTTTATTGTAAAATGTCACAGGTTTCAATGTCACAGGCTTTTCTGCATGACTTAAAATCTGCAAATAGTCTTCCAGGTTTTGCCACAGAGGTATCTATAAATAAAATCCAACTAAAAATGACTACAATAACTTTGTCTTGCTTATATTTTTAGGAAAATGCTCACAATTTCTGGTGTTATTGTCCTCCGTTTATTGTATCTATACAACTAAACTTTAAGTTTTTAATAATTTCTATTAAGGCCAGAGGCAAAATGCTGTGCAAATGAGACATAGATGGTCTATGCGTAATCAACATTACGCAGCTCTGCAGTTCAACAAGTTTTAACTAATGTTTCCAAGTAAAAAATTACATGAGTTGAAATTTCATGTAATCTATCATGAGTAGGATTAGAGTGACCAGCCAATTTCTCTGTGCATCTGTAGTTGTGATTTTTATTTTGGTTTTATATAGCAGGAATGCAAGAATCATTTAGGACTTTATGCATTTTTAAGGATTTTGCTGTAGGTAGGGGTGTTTGGGATGCATCAAAACTGGACAGAGACATCCAGAAAGTTACGGTTCTTTGGTATGAAATTGTCTATAGAGAATAGACTAATCTCATGTCTAGATGGATAGTGGAGCACAGGACAAGTCAACGAAAGATGCAAATTAATGTCAGGATAGTAAAGTAATGCACTTTAAAAACAACACTTTAGATGTTAAGGTCACAACTTTGTCATGTTTACTTTTTCAACTTGTATTACACCCAGGGCTTTCTGTTAGTCCGTTTGTTGCAGTTTGTCAGTTTTCTTTCTATAACAGCACAAAGAAAGAGAAATGTTTTTCTTGAAGTGCATTCAAAGCCTGGCGTGTAATTCAGTTAAATTGTATGTTTGGGGTGTGTGTGTGTGTGTGTGTGTGTGACTAGTCAAGAAGAGCAGCTGAAGACTTCTGCAGGGGTAAGACTGCTTCTACAATTTCATATATCTGTGCAGAAATGTAACTAATGTTCATTTGTTGATGTAGAGTTACTCCAAATGCGGTGTTAGCCACTGTATGAAAGGCTATTGTTGATGATTATGTTGATGCTTAAGCAAGACAAAAATCCCATAATGTTTTTCCCTTATATACCGTGTGACCTGCTTTCCTCCCAGGCCTAACTTAAAAGGCTTGTAGGGGCAGCGAAGGCCTGAGTCCATAGTTCAACACCTGTAAGTCACAAACAACTAGTTCAACCAAAGACTGATGCCTGTTTCTTGTTTTTTTGTTTTCCTTTTTTTCCTGGAGGAAGGGATCTTAAGGAAGAAAAAGTATTTTTCATTTGCTGCATTTTGTTATGAATGCCAAAAGTCAAATGTGTTCCACAGATCCCGCTATTTGAGTGGTTTCCAGTTACATTCTTGCTAAAAAGTAGTTTTATCCTTCACCTTTTGAAGCAACAAAGCACACCATGTTGCTTTAGATACATGAAGTCTCTCTGTGAGTGGGAGTCTTCTGTGCCATCAGATAGGATTGTGGCTTCATAGTTATTAGGACATGTTCCTTGGAAACCTCTCAAACTCTGGAAACCACTTGATCTGTGTACATATGAAAGCTTACTGCAGATTCCTCTTGCATATCAAGTGGCAAATCCTGAACCTGTGTGTGTTTTGCTCTGCAGAAACTCGAAGAGGAGAAAGACAAGCGCGAGAAAGAGCGGCTGGAGTTCGAGCGCGAAAGGAGGGAGCGAGAAAAAGAACGAGAGCGGGAAAGAGAACGGCGGGATCGCGAAAGGGAGAAGGAGCGCGAGAGAGAAAGGAAGAAGGAGCGGGAACAGGAGAGGGAGAGAGACCGTGATAAAGAGCGTGACCGCAGGAACAGGGAGGTAGAACGAGAGCGAGACTGGGACAGAGACCGTAGCCGTGACCGGAGCGCCGAGCGCAGCCGATCCAGGTGACGTAGATAAATGTGCACCTGTTACAGCCAAGGACACATTTATGAAGTAAAACATTCAGTATGAACCTTGAATATGTTGAGATTCCCATAGTCTGATATAACTCAGAAAACGCTCCAATTTTAGGAATTCACTGCTTAGCGATTTTAAGTTCCCACAATCTGAAGACCAGATTGTGTCAGTAGGTTTACATTTTCTTCTTGTTTGCTCAGAGTGGAGACATTAAACCAACATAAAACCAACATAAACTGTAAAACTTTATCCTCAGATTGTCATCTGCATCTAAAAGTCTAATTACTCACGTAAATATGTTTGCTTAAACCCGCCTATCACATTATTTAATGGTTTTTATCAGTTTCTATTTATAGAACACATACAGTCTTTTCAAAGAAACTATCAAGTAAACCATTTAGTCAGTGCAGACGATTCATTTTCTGAAGATTAAATTTCTTTTAACTTGTTTATTACACATGTTCATCTAAGGGGATATTAAAATCTAATCTATCAAAACCTGTTTTTTACAGGGAATTGAGCCGAGACAGAGAGAGGGAGAGAGAAAGAGAACGGGAGAGGGACAAGAAGCGTGACCAAGAAGATGAAGAGGACGCTTATGAACGTAGGAAGCTGGAACGAAAACTCAGAGATAAGGAGGCAGCATATCAGGAGGTAAAACAATTTTGTAAAAAGAAAAAAAAAGCATGATTAAAGTTTATATATTAGAAAGTGTTCAATCTGTTAAGTTAAAATTTAGTTTTCTCACTGTTCTTACATCAAAATCTAGTGATCCACAAAAAACCCCTTTTTTCTCCCTGTAAAATTTAAATGTCTTTACCTATAATTTTTCTCTAAAATATCAAATTTCTTGTGTCTGTATTTAACCCTAACTGTTTGTTATAGCGTCTGAAAAACTGGGAGCTAAGGGAGCGGAAAAAGGCTCGGGATTATGCCAAGGAGTCGGAAAGGGAAGATGAGCGCAGGCGAGAAATGGTGAGAGCAGAGTGAACCTGTGCAGAACTCTTTGGCTGTGACTCAATTTTTCAGGATTAAAATTTACACTTTTTTCACTTGCAAAGTCAATTAGCACTTGATTGTCCAACAAAGGCTTCTTTTGTTAGAGAAAATGTGGGTGTTATGCGTAAGTGGATCATAGTTTCTACATTTTCTTTATTTAGATAAAAGAAGGCAAACGACTGAAGGAGTTTCTCGAAGACTACGATGATGACAGAGATGACCCCAAATACTACAGGTGAGCAAGAACACCAGAGATGTCTGAAGTTAAGATAGATTATACTGAAATGATTGCTCAAATATTAATGCTAATGACCTGAAAATTTCCAACTCTATATAACAAATATAAATTAATCTTTAGCTCGTCACTTAATTACTCTGCGTGGTTCCTATTTCCTAACCCTGGTATAACAGATTGGGGGAAAAAATATGAAATATATCATATTTTACGATTGTCAGCATCCTCTGTTTCTGTTTGTCCTCACTGTTTGTACTTTCTTCAGTTTAAGTCTTTTTCTCCCACACCTTGTTTTTATTATTTTTCCACCATCTGTCATTTCATTGTCCCTCTTTCTTTATTGTCATTTTTTGTTTCTTCCATTCATTGCTTGTCTCTTCTTTTCACTTTTGATATTCATTTTGTCATTTCTTCTCTCTGTAAAATTTATCAAATTTTAGGCCCATTACCAGAAATATCTCTATCTCTCTTTTCATTTCTATTAAAATGGGGGAAGATGATTGAAAACAGTTTTTATAACATAAAAAATGTGTACAAAGTCTGAGCATGTGTGACCCAGATCTACCTCAAGTGATCATGCAATACTGCAGCTGTGGTCATTGTTCTGAGAGCTGCTGGTTTTCACTGCGACCACTAGGGGGAGCGCGCTGCAGAAGCGTCTCAGAGACAGAGAGAAGGAGATGGAGGCGGACGAGCGTGACAGGAAGAGGGAGAAGGAGGAGCTGGAGGAGATCAGACAGAGGCTGTTGGACGAGGGACATCCAGACCCGGACGCAGAACTGCGCAGGGTATCGTTGTCTCTTTAACTCAGGTTCACTGTGTTTCTGTGGTGAGGAGGCATGCTGTCTGTTGTTGAAGGTCACTTTCTCCTCGGAGTCTTTCTCCACATTAGCTTTCATATTCAGCTTTCCTTGTTTATTCTGCCATTGGACGCTGCTTTCCTCTTACCTGCTTCTGATTGGCCTAGATGGAAGAAGAGGAGGAGGAGCGTCTGAGACAGCCGCCCATCATCCAAGAGCCCGAACCCGAGGAGCAGCGTGAACGCCACAGAGGGTCCAGAGACCACAGGGAACGGAGACAAGAGCCGGAAAAGGCCAAACCCAGCGCACGGCCTCGTCCTCATCCTCATCCCTCCGACCAGGAGGTAGAGGAAGGCGAGGAGGAAGATTATGACAATGATGAAGACAACGTTGAAGCAAAACCACAGCTGAAGCCCATGATGCGGCCCATCACAGCTGCTCCTTCGGTATCGTCAGCGAGTGGCAATGTGTCTCCCAACACGCCCGGAGAGGAGTCGCCATGTGGCATCATCATCCCGCACGAAAACTCACCCCCAGACGCTCTGCCGCAGGACGAGAACCGGCCCAAGATCGGCCTCAGCCTAAAACTGGGTGAGTGGAAAAGATGATTCTTTTGCTTTTGAGTTAATAAGTCTCGACTGATGAACGGAAACTAATGACTTACTGTAACATTCAAGAGCGAGATAGACAAACAGACTCCGGTGTGAGATGCTTAAAAACTCAAGTTTTTAGGAAAATGGTTGCTTATCGGTTATTAGTTGATAAGATCAATCAACTTTAGATGAACTGAATCAATAATTTACAATCCAAGTTCATATAGATTATTTGCTCAGATAAACCTCTAAACAGAAAAACAAAAAAATAAATGAGATGGTGACAGATATCCAGATTGTCCCGCAGTAACCAGATGTTTTCAGCTGGAGGGACTAAGTGATTAACCTCTGTCCACATCAGGTGCTACTGGGAGCCCCAGCCAGCATAATGCCGTCAAGAGGAAGAAGCTTCCAGTGGACAGCGTCTTCAACAAGTTCGACGATGAGGAGGCAGATGAACAGCCACGCAAGAGGAAGCTGGTGCCCCTGGATTATGACGACGATAAGAGCCTGGGCGTCGACGGCGCCGGACTGTCCAGCATAAAAGGAGCCAACACCGAGGAGAAACGCAAGCACATCAAGAGCCTGATAGAGAAGATACCGACAGCCAAACCAGAACTGTTCTCCTACCCTCTGGACTGGTCCATGGTCGACACGGTAAAGTTGTTCTTTTCTTCTAATGACCAAGATGACCTTTTATTTTGCTTTGGTAAATGACATGGTGTTCGCATCTTAATCCAGTTCCTGTGTTGTGATCTCGTTTCACAGACGTTAATGGAGCGACGTGTTCGACCCTGGATCAATAAAAAAATCATTGAGTACATCGGCGAGGAAGAGGCGACATTAGTGGACTTTGTGTGCTCAAAGGTAAAAATGTAAAAGAAAATGTGATTTTTGAGGAAAAGTGAATTGATATGAAAGGGTTCGTATGAGTGCAAGAAATCCTTGAAAAATACTTTCCAATGTTTGGAAAGTGCATTGTAACATTTGAAAAGCGTTATTTATAGTTGAAATCAGATATTTAAACATAATAAAAAGACATTTTCCATCACAACCTAAAGTTAATTCAGACCAAACATCTCTTGCTTTAGGTTAATTGGAATGAGTAAAATTATTTCTATTTATTTCTAAGTCCTAGAAAACCATTAGGTTGTTTAGAATAGTTTTCTTAGTTTATTTGTATTGTTTTAACTAGTCTGGTGCTGGAAATGTTGATGTGCTGATGTTTGTGTCTGCTCTCAGGTGATGGCTCACAGTATGCCCCAAAGTATCCTGGATGATGTTGCCATGGTGAGAAATATTCTGTTCACATGAATATTAAACCAATATTAAATATTAAAGCGATGTTTCTCCTCTCTTGTTCAGGTACTTGATGAAGAGGCTGAAGTCTTCATTGTGAAAATGTGGCGGTTGCTCATTTATGAAACTGAAGCAAAGAAAATTGGACTGGTGAAATAAGAAACAACCACTGAATGAAGATATCTCTTCTCCCCAACCCCAAACTGTTTATACAACTGTTGTGAAATCGTGTCATCCAGAACAAACTGCAACATTGACACCAAATGTTTGTTTTTTTTTCCTGTGAAACACTCGGGCTCCGTGCCGATGTCCATGTTGCTTCTGTATATATAGAATCATTTGGCTGTAATGAAAGACTCCTCGGAGTCCAGTCCTCTCCATTGGTCCTGTGCTTTTACTTCCACACATGCAGTTAAGCTACAATTTTCCAAACATGGTTTTAAGTTGAGGAAAATGGCTTGTTTTGCATACCTGGACTTTGATGGATGCATTCCTCAGAGTGGACTTCTCCTTTTTTTTTACAGGGGCGTATTTATTAGGGGATTCATAACTTGAGCCTTTTTCTGTTTTACCACATTCCTGATAATTAGATCAGTCTTTGTCAACAAACCACCTCAGCAGAACAGAATTATGGGTGGCAACAATCTTTAGGAAAAAGCACACATCACAACCACTATAAGAAATGGAGCGAAGAACAGGAAAAATGTCTCTTTGAAGTTGTGAAATTTTATTTTTTTTGTAATGGTGAACATTTGATTAAAACTTTTTTTTAATGCATGTGCAGTTTTCATTTCCATCTGAATTGTTGCCATTACTGTTTACGGTGATTACAGGCTATAAGTATGTTTAGTTTTAAATGACTTAATTCAAATGTTTTTTTGGGATTGGTTTCCTTGATTAAAGCTTTTAGGCAGGTCTAACTAAGTCCTAAGATTTTTAAAGACACATGAGCCAATAAGTAAGATATTTGCTCTTACCCACCAGATGCAAAAAGCTAGCCAGCTAGCAAAGATGTTAGCAAAGATGCAAACACGAGAAGTTGCAAGCACTTCTCGTGTTTGCAACAAAAAGTTGCAAACACCATGTTTAGGCTTTTCACTGAACAAGACTCACTGAGAAGAAAATTTCCAGAAATTTATTGATGTCATGTGAGCTACACACAGAGCAGATCTTGCTGGTAAAACACCTTGGAACTGGAAGATATCACAACTGAATGCGGTCGATACATGAGCTTCTTCTGTCCCTTCGGTCAGTCGCGTTCACTGACCACTCGGAGATTTGGAGCACTGGATACTGAAGAGGCTGAGCTCTGAAGCAAAAGGTAAGTGAAGGCCACTGAACAGCTTCTGTTTATTCAGACTGAAACTATCCTGCTGTTACACTTACTTAGTCATCCTTGTGTTCATGTGGGGTTGAGAAGATCCTTTTCTTTTGCCAATCGAGTAAAAATGACTTAAATGTTTGCAACCTGACAGTTGAAACTGACTAGCAGGCCTGTCCATGACTTTTCCTTTGATTCTTCGTCTCTTTAGTCCTCAGTTTTGGCCTCCATCTCTTCAGCGTCGTCGTCTCCGTCCACCTCAGCATTCTCCCTTTCTAGCCTCTCCAGCTGCCGGGCGAGCTCAGTCTCATCCGTGTCCGTCACCACCTTGGGCTGTCGGGAACAAAAATAATAAAGTCTTGTTCAAGGGCACAACATGTAAACCTTTGAACATGTAACATTAAATACAAAGAGAAAGACAGTCGGGTTCAAAAGTACTTCAACTATTAATGAGGCAAAACGCATTTAAACCATAAAATTCAGGTTGCTTAGTCACATCTTTCTAAATGTCCAGATGTCATGGATAACAGAAACTCACATGATTGGAGTTAATTATTTAGTCCTATCAGAGGATCCTTAGATTATAGTTTTACAGGTCCACAAACTTCTAATACTTTTATTCATTACTTGGTGTAATGGACCAACCCAAAGTAACATGTTACTGGGAAGTTAAAAGAAAGGGATTTTACAAAAATAAAAATCTGGTAAGTGTGGTGTGCATTTATATTCATCCCCCTCTGCTGATCCCTCAGGAGAAATCAGAAGTTTACTAGAGAACATGAAGAGTACCGGAGATCGACAAAGTGGAGAAAATCACAGTTGGTTAGTAGATCATTAATCAGAGAAGCAGCCAAGAGGCCCATGGTAACTATGCAGGATTGTTTGTTAAGGAGAGGAGTTATGTTCTCTCTCTATGGAAGTAAGGCGAGAAAAAAAAAGGCCATAAAAGATCAATTTTTCTAGTTTTTCTAGGGGGATACAGCAAGCATGTGGAACAAGATTATATGGTCAACTGAAATTTCTGCCCTTATATGCAAACCTTTGTTGAGAAAAAGTTTTTGTTCAGTAGCAAAACCAAAAATTGTCAATAAATAATGGAACTAATTACAAGGTAATCCAAAGAAAAAAACATTTTGAGGCTCCAAAAATGACTAACACAGATTTATCTTCCAGCAGAACAAAGCTAGAAACAATGGTTTAGATCCAAGCTATTTGTGTGCTAGAATGGCCTAGTCAAAGTCCAAGAAACTATTGACAGACTAGAAATTGATGTTCTATAAATGCTCTCCATCATATCTAACTCAGGTCGAGCTTCATTCCCAACAAAAATGTATAATTTAGTCTAAAGGTGTTTACATTGGGTACAGCGATCCACTAAAAGACTTGGTGGATCGCTCTACCAAATGTATGCAAATTCATCTTTGATTTCCTACAATCTGCTTTTTTGATCAGATTTCTTCACAGGGGTGGATTATCTGCTTTAGAGAAAAATCAAAGGTAGCATTTTCCCTCCAAACTCCAATAACTTAAAACAGAACATTGTGGAAACGTTGATAAATCTTCTGTCCCTAAAGGCAGAGGGAATTCCTCACCTCCATCTGGATGTTAAAGACGCCTCTCTTCTCTTCTATCTTCTCCTTGATCGCAGCCATGGCCTGGTTGAGGACAGACAGGCCTTCTGTCCGCTCCAGGGTGGTCGTGGTCATCACGTATCGAGGCGGGGCAATCAGGTTGATCTAAAAACAAACACAAACCACAGTTAGCTTTGGTGGCGGTAATTAAACATTAATAATAGAAAAGATGGAGGAGGTGGAGGTATCACCTTGATGGGCATGACCTCAGTGGAGCAGGCGAGTCCGGCCCTCAGCGCTTCTTTCACCGCATCAATGCCCTCATAGCCGTAGCATGCAACTTCAATATCTGCAGAGGAAAATAAACGAATCATCCGTTCATCTGCGTCTTGCGCAATTCATCCGAGAGTTAACAAACCTGCTCTGATTTTGACAGCCTGCGGCGTTAGCCGCCTGTTGATGTTATCGATCAGCACGCTGCGCTCCTCCTCCGTTAAATCCAAACCGTCCAGGATGGTGGGATCTCTGTTAAAATGGAGCATTTGCTGTTAAAAAACAACAGGAAGCTGATTGCATTCAGACTTTGGGTGGAATCTTGCGTGGGACTCACGACACGGCCTGTTTGAAGACGTCGTAAGCGCCGTATCCTGGCCGCTTGTACTTCTCGTCGAAGACCCAGGCGGTGCGCTGGTACAAGCTTTCTAGCTGCTCGTCCTTGGTGTACTCCAGAACCTCTGCCACGTGCCGCAGGATGCTGTAAACCTGCAGGAATCGGCGCAGTGCAAACGTCAGCTGACTCCTGACTCCTCCTCGCAAAAGTAAAGAAATACTTGAAAGCAGGAAAACAAGGATTAATTATAAAACTTACAGTTTTAGATTTGGTAAATTTATCTTCACACTTGATGGCCTCCTCTGGTGAAACTCTTCTTTTTGATAAGTCGATGTATCCTGCAGGGGAAAAGTTGACAAAAGCGCATGGTCACTCTTACAGAGAAACTTTTGCCCTTCATTTTCATGGAGCAAATCTGATAAATTTAGAAGTGATTTATTAGGGGGCATAAACTGTAGAAACCAGTAGCAATATTTAAAAAGTAAATACATAAACAACATTCAGTTTAGTGAAGCTGGAGTTTTACATTTCCTGTTCTCTAGTTCCTGTTAACAGACCAGCAGCAAGATGTGAATGGATCACTGATCTAAAGCAGAGTGTGGATGCTTAACAAAATTAACAAACATTTATCATCATTTAAGAAAAACAACTGAAAGTCCAGGATTAGATATATTTTATTCACATTATTAAACAAAAGACAAAAATAGCTTCAAACAAAAGGCTAACATTGGTTATACTCTACATAAACAACTAAGTAGTTTATTTTGAGCATGTGAACAATGCTCAAAATAATAAAAGTTAATTATAAGATCAAGTTACATATTATTTTGAGTCACAATAATAAATATTGGGCTGGGTGGTTTTACTATTGAGAGGCTAATCAGCCAACCATAAAAATAAGAGGCAGGATTTCATAAATTTTTTTCTGCTACCTTATTTAAAACCACCAAGGTTGGAAAATCACCATCGAAGTAAACTTAACCCTCAGGTTTGCTTGCATTTCAGAGTTAAACACACTGACAAAACTATTTAATTGATCAAAGATTGGCTGAAAGGTTTTTGTAATTTAAAAAAAAATAGCAACATCAAATTATTAAGATAAAAAAATATGTTGACAAATAAATACATTTGGATGAAACTTCTTTGAAGTACAGTAACCAAAATGATCTGAAGAAGATTCAAATGTGGAACAAGAGATTAATAGGATTAATTAAATGGTCAGTTGATGATGTCAAAGGTCAGATGTGTGTATGATTAGCATCCATGTGATTATTTGTGCATTTAAAATGCTCTTAATTTTCATTTCTCTCCGCCCGTGCGCGCTCACCTTTTTCTTTGTCGACTCGGATGACGACGACGCACTCGTTGCGGCCGATGCGGATGAGCTTGTTGATGGAGCGGATACGTCGGCGCGACAACTCGCTCAGGAGGATCATGCCCTCGATGTTGTTGTACTCCAGGAGGCTGACATAGGCCCCCATCTCGGCAATTGACCGCACGTTCACCATGACCACGTCCTCCACCTCTGGGAACCGGTGCTGGTAAAACCTACAGCTTAGACCCGGCATCGCTGCGAGGAAACAAACGGAAGAAATGTTTACAATTAGGTTACTGACAAAAAATAAAAAAACAGCAGGCGGAATGTCTGAATGGATGCACAAAGGAGTTAAAACCAGCAGTTCTTATCTAAGCTGAGCAGCTGCTTAAACCCCTCCTCCCCCCCAAAAAAAGCAGGAAAAGACAACTTAGGCTTCATCTTCTTGATATTTTATACTTAACTTTATGTCAAAACACTTCACACCTTTAAAATCTACCTCAGGAAACTGCTGTGATCCCCTTAAGTCCTCACAGAAACGGCTCAGAGATCTACAAGCAGGTATGGGGATTAAATTAGCTTAAAAGTATAATTACACTTGTGGAGGCAACTTGCTGATTTCAGCATCCAGTTTAAAGTGTTTATAGTTTTCGTGGCTGCGCCACCAGAGTCAGACCTTTTGTGTTGGTGGAGACATCTTTGGAACAGAATACACTGTTATTCATTGGCTTAAAATTCTAGTTTCGTACTACAATTTACCATTTACTTTTAATTAGATGACCTGGACGCATGTAAGTTAAGTTACTGACTCAATTACTGCTTCAATTGTGCTATGAAATTGAGTGGAGAGAACCAGTAACCAATATTTTACAGAAAGATGTCTTTGATGCCGCAAAAAGACACATATTAGTCGATTTGCATTAAACAGAAAAAAGAAGTGTGTATTTGACCCTATAGTTA